ATGTACTCCCTTATGTATCCATTGCCTTTGTACTTTAATGAGATCAAATTCACTAAAAGTTTACTTGTCTCAGATTTTTCGTTCCTTACAAAGTGTTTCTCAATCTCTCTGGCCATAGTAATTTCCTTAGAAGCAGTGCCTTGAAAGGCTTCCGGAATGGCGTGCTTAATGATCATTAGACTAGCGCAATTTAAGCGTTCCTACTTTTCATAGTTCTGTCTTTCAGTGACAGTACTTGCATCCGTCAAAGAAGGGGGTTGCTCAACCCTTAGCGCATAGTCAATATCCATGCAGCCCAAAGTGATCAGAACATATTCTTTCCAATCCTTGAAGTTTGACCCATTAAGCATAAGAATGTTGGTGTTATCAGAAATAGAAGTAGCAGACGACATAGCTGAACAGAAAATAACATTAAATTAATAACGTGCTCACATTGATCATAAAAGTTTTACATAAGTTTAGGAACATCTCAAGGCACCTAACACAACACTAGTAACGAGTCTTTGGACAATAATATTAATTTGTAAGTCATCGCCTTTGTGTAGTAATCAAATATTGACAAAATCCTATCAAACAATAGCCTTTCTTTTGAAAAACATTTATTCACATGGATATAACTATATATTGTCACATATTTACTACCTCAAGTATTTATATATTTCTGCCAAATATTAATCTTCCTTTGGCCTGGATAAATACTCGTATAAAAACATACAAATACAAAACATTTAAAATTTCAACAATAAATCTACACAAGAGAGGTTACTTTTGTGGCTTCTTGTTTCAATATACTTGTTTTAAATTTTAGACAAACAAATGGAACATGAGATGTACCAAAACAAATTTACAAGTAATGACTGAAATATTTATTATATATGTTCAATCACTAAATCAATTTACTATAATTGCAAAATTAATAATTTTATAATTAACCAAGAAATTTTAATATTTAAGCATTTTTAAAACTGAAACATGTAACAACATTTAAACAATTATAGAGCAGTAGGTTGGCTGTGGCGCTAGACTTAAGGATATATGTGCCCAACAACCTTGGTTTCTAATCCCAGAAGAGTGAAATTAATGTTTTTTTAAAGTCATCTTTAACTTGCACCGGGTCAAACCCGACCCGATTTTCAGACCCATTTCAGATACAAAATTTACAGCCATAATCGTGGCTTTGAATTCAATTTTTTTACACACAAAAAAAAACATGAAAACGTCACAAAAATTCACGGAATAGAGTATAAATTTATAATATACATTCTCAAACATGATAGGAGAAGAATTCAAAAACCATAATCATACCAAATTTAACCTTTAGAAAAAATAATAATAAATAAAGATTCTACGTTTCACTTGAATCCAGATAATTTGTATATACTATCAAATCCTAACAACAATTATAAATAACTGACATTAAAACCAATTGCTATCATATATGCAAACTCACATGAATTCACATAAAAAGAAAATAGACATGTTTTGATTCTCAAAATTCAACATGAAGGCTCCACTTGTTGGTAATATTTAACCCCAAATAAAATTAATCCAATCCCAAAACCATTCATGTCAAATAACTGAGAATCAAACAAATCAAGAAGCAGAAGTGTACCTGAATTCATTGCTTGAAAATTTGTGTGTTCTTCGATTTGTTGGACTGGTGTGTTCTTCCAAAAGATCTTGTTGAACTGGTATGGTCTTCTAAACGATCTAAACCTTATGGCAGATATTTATCTGTAGTGTATGTATTACGTATGTATGTTGTGTATTGATGGTCTTCCAAACAATATAAGCCTTATAGCAGATACTTATTTGTAGTGTATATATTGCGTATGTATGTTTTGAGGTAGCAAACCTAGCAGGCTGCTTCAAGCCCCGAGCCTTGCCGAGGAAATCTGCTCATAACTTTTCATAGTTTGAAGGCTATAACCAATTAAATAATATTTAGTGATTTTTAGTTCAGTGCCTCAACAAATTAAAAATCTATATCTACACTTTTAGTTCGAAAATCTATTGTTCAAATTAAAATATTTCTAACAAGAAGCCCGCCACCAGTTGCTCACTAATAAAGTTACATATATTTAATAATACTAGTAAAGTGCACGTGCGATGCACGTGATGGTGAATGTTTTTGCCAATTAAATTTAGTAAAATAAATTAATTAATTTATTAAAACTATCATTGCAAGAATGAAATAAAACGTAGAACAAATGAGCTCATAATGTAATTGTTTTTTGCCGATTAGGTTTTGTAAAATAAATAAATTAATTTATTAAATATATCATTGCAAGAATGAAATAAAATGTAGAACAAATTAATGAAACAAAATGTAGAACAAATTGTATTTTCCAAAATAACTTAACGATGTCCTAATATAAAAGAATTAAATAACATATTACAACTCCAACAAAAACACTAAATACCTAAATAGTGACTAACATATATTATACATGCATTAGTTCTTTTATTTGTTTATGTTTGATATTCAATAGCGATCTCTTTCATTTTGGTTTTGACGTCCTCATAAGAAGCATTGTTGATTCAATAGTATTGCAAAATTCATCTTAATTTATTTAGCAAAACGTCTACTTTATTCAAACACTTAAAAAATATCCTAGCCAAACATATAGTGAAACTTCATGGTTGTATTATCTTTAAATTTCTACCAACAATGCATTAATATCTCTGCAAAATAACCAATCATGTCATTAAAATTATTGTTTATTTTTTATCATTGTATAAGCTACTATATTACTCTATCTCTATATATAGACAAATTATACCTACCCCATGGATGTATCGCCCTACGGAGGGGAATGAATTTCATCTCTAAATAAAAGTTGTCTTTTCAAAATCTCTATTATATGTACTTTTCCCGAGATTATTTTTTGAAATCATCACATATTACCTAAAAGTACATACTCTAAAATAACTGCACATATATTCAAGCACAATACACCAATGAAATTATAAATATTCCTATAAGAAGTGTCAACTTCATTCAAACATTCAAAAATGTTCTGATCAGGCTCCAACGTTTCATTTTTAATGTCATTTATTTAGAAGATAGACGAACTGTATAATCTATTGTTTGCAAATCATTGATCATCTAGTTCTTGCAATGATTTTAGAATTATTTATCTTAATGTCTTTCACTTCGTTTGGATTTGTAACATTTATGTGTCCAATAACTTTTTAATGCTTTTATCGTCCAACTTTACGCATCATACATAATGCTCAGAAAACTCAAAATAAAGATCATTTTTTGATTCTTCACCAATGAAAAAACCAAACAAAACAATTAGACAACATTGAGAAACATATCATTTGTTAAAATTAAATCTTGATAATATAGGATCATTATTTATGAGATCCAATTTCTTACAGAGTCCATATATTTAAACGCTGTTAACAAAAAAAGTATTATTTTCAAAACACTTTTTGTTTCTAAATATTGGTATTCATACTTGTTTAAGAAAATTCAGACGTTCTCTTTTTTCAATTGCATTACTATTATTTTATTAGTTTTTTATTCTATTGATAAATAATACTTTATTTATTAAAAGAATTATAGAACATTTATATGTATTGCATCTTTTTTCGTACGTGTTTCATACAATGACGTTGTTATCAAAATATCTTATTTATTAGACAACAACTAATATAATCACATAAGATAAAATAAAATTTAATATTACTTAGTTATTTATTTATTTATAATAATATATTGATAAAAAAATGTACTTTTATATTGATTATTAGATTAAAAGGTTTAGAATTTTTTTCCCAATGTTTAAGAAAATATTAAGAAACTAACTCATTTTCATACTCATTGAATTTATTTGTTAGTTGAATAATAATTTAACATACAACTCGTTTATTTCTCCTTTTAATTCACATGGTTAATACTGGTGATAGTTGTATGTCTAAATCCATTGTTTTTTTTTTAATCCATTGTTTGTTTTTTCTTAATATGAATTTTCGGATCTATGTAAAAAAAATATGCCACAAGTTTATATTATGTTATTTAATACTTAATGAATTTATTTAACATGGATGTATAATTTATTTTATAAGATACTTTTAGGTCTATTTATTATTTTAAATTCATTGATAATTGATATACATCATTAGAAAGAAATGATATGATATATTACATATAAAAGGGTAACATTCTACTCCGTACCTTCGGGTTCATTAGCGGTGAAAGAGTGTTACAGTGCTGGACACGGCCAACTAGGCCATGGAACTTGAGGACGGTTTGGACTTGCACGTCCAACGACTCGATTAAAGGCGATTGTCATTCACTTAAATGTGCATATTAAGTGTGTTTGATATTTCTCATTACCTAGCTCCAATTAATATAGGACATTAATTAATAATTTTATCACTTTTTTTTACTTTTAGATTTAATGTGAGCTATAAGTTTTCTCATCATTCTTACCCCTTGTTTAGCTATTATAATACTAATAAAATAATTAAGACTTTTTAACTTAGATGTATCTTGTTTGTTTTGAAATAGTTTACTAATTACCATAAATTAAAGGGTAAATAATAATTTGCAACCTGTACTAAACGCGAATTTGGGGTTTGCAACCTAAAGAATTTTTTGTACTAAATTGCAACCTTTAATACACGATTAGTCTATATCGCAACCTCCGACCATCGGAAGTTCGTTGTTCACCGGAAAAGCAAGCGTGCGATACACACGTGCTAAATTTGAGGGCAAAAATGTCATGTCATCTCTCTCCATCCTTATTCTTTCATCCTACCTCTCACACACACACTCCCACATACATAGTCAAAATCAAGGGAATCGCAAGACCGCCGTCCGCCGCAGCGCCCAGTAAAAGAAGCCCCTTTTTTATCGCCGGCGGAGCCTCAGCAGTCAAATTCGACTTCAATCTGGACATATTTGTCGATATTATTGCCTCAGATATGAAGAAGAAAACAATCTAATTTTCAAGATGTATTCGAAATTTCTCTTTGCTCTGTTCATCATGTGTCGAAATTATTGCCTCAGATCTGTAGAAGAAAGCAATCGAAATTTCCAAGATGTGTTCGAAATTTCTCTTTGCCCTGTTCATCTTCTTCCTCGCAGCCCCCATATTTCCTTCCAGCAGCATCACTCTCTACGGCGGCGCTTTCGTGAACGCCACCTCCATTGCCCTGTCAAAGGAGAAGAACTTCACCATCCTCCCGCTGCCTCCGTTCTTCCCGCTGGTTCCACCGCCTCTATTTCGTGCCTTTTCTCTTTCGCCGTCGACATGTTCGTGTTTCTTATCACATCAAAAGGCGCAAATTTCACGGGCCTCCCGATTGAGGTACCCTATTATCATGCCGTGGAATTCAATTTTTGATTTGAATGTGTGTGAGACAGTATGAGAGAGAGGATGAAAGAGGAAGGAGGAAGAGGGATTAAATGACATTTTTGCCCTCAAATTTGGTACGTGTGTGTCGCACACTCGCTTTTCCAATGGAAAATGGGCCGCCGATGGCCGGAGGTTGCGATATAGACAAATCGTGTATTAAAGGTTGCGATTTAATACAAAAAATTCTTTAGGTTGCAAATCCCAAATTCGAGTATAGTACAGGTTGCAAAATTATTATTTACCCTAAATTAAATGATAATTAGATTGAATGTGTTATATTTTCTATCATTATCAACAATTTTCATAATAATTAGTTGTGCACAATATTATATATAATGCAAGTTTTCTTATTGATTAGAAGCCCTACCTTTACTACAAAAAAATGAGAAAATTCGAATGAAAATTTCAAAAAAAATATATTACAAAGGAATTCATCGAAAATTTTAACGAATATTTCAATGTTATTACTCCCGTTTGAATTTTCCAATATAATTATAGAAGAAAATAATTTATTGGAATCATGAGCAGATCTATGTTTACTTATAGGTCTGACACAACCCTCCATCCCAAAGCATATAGCGTAAGGAATCTAATAAAAATTGTGGGAACATTTTTAATTTCATAATTTTTATCCTGTCCCCTATATTAAAAATGAAATTAAAAGAAAGAAAGATACATAATGAATTAGTTTACAACTCAACCAATTATAATTTAATTCAAGTGATGACTTTATTAATGTTATAACATAAACGCGGCATCACAACTAAAGAAAATATAATAAATCTCAAAATTACGACCCAACAATTGAGACCAGTTTATTCATTTATATACTGAGAATATCTATACCTGTTATTATCATGAATAATTGCATCACTATGATATAATACCGTAATGATTCGCTAGTTCACGCCAAGTTTTCAAATTTTTTATCTGATATATGATATAGACTTTTCTATTCCTATTTTAAAAGGATTTTTTTTAATTCAATAAAATGTAAATGATCCATATTAATGATAGTTTCAAACCTCTCTTTTGCAACATATTTTTTTCTATATCTTCAAAATATGTTTTTTATGTCTTTTTTAACTAAAGGAAGGGGAATTATAGTTATATATTCATAATTTATAAATCCATCAATTGTATTGCCGAGTCAGCTATACTACAACATAGATTTCTTATGTTTAATTGAGAAAAATCGTCATTTTTTTATTAAATATTTTTTAACTTATTGTGACTATACTGATGTGTTAGAATGTATTACAAGTAAGAAACATGACAAAGTATGTAAAGTATAATTTATAAATTGTAATGGCATTATGCTATTTTGATGGTATACTTTTTCTATTAATTATATAGTGCCCCAATATAAAATTATTTGGATCTGCCATTGCAATTAGTTTTTCAATGGAACTTCTATTAATTTTTTTACAATTTCAATGACAGTTTTTTCAACGGTCGAAATATGATCCGTAAAAAAATTCAACAGAAATTTAAACAAAAATAAATTATAGTAATTGGAATCATTTAATTCACAATATTTTCAATGTAATTTAATTTGATCTCTATTTGAATAGTTAATGAAATTTTCCAATAAAAGCTATACCAATGAAATATCCGTTGGAATTTTTATTGGAATATCTTACAGATGCATTTTCCATTGCAATAAACCAATTTTTTTTGTATTCCTTCTTAAACATTATATTTTAGGTAGTAGTTATTGAGTAATTGTGTTTACAATGTTTCTATTAAAATATATTAAACACATGACCTTTTTAATCCATATAATTTTTTTTTAAAGTAACTCATTATTTTATCTCAAGATTACCTATTATATTCCCAATTGAGTTACATTGATTACATATTAAATGTTAAATAATTAAAATAATTATTATTTATATATTTAGTATGAAATATATATATTAGAATAATCAAGTGTTTTTTTTTCTAACCTACATGGATAAAGGTAAAAATAACTATTGTATATCACCTAAAACTTATACATAGAATTAATAAGTACAAAAATTAACAAGCATTTAACAACCTTGCTCGTTTACATTGATAAATATAAGTTTTAAAAGGTTTATGTTTACTTTTATTAATCATGACATATTTATTTATTATTTTTTAATATTTATTAGTACGTGTTACAACTTAGTAATTTTAATATCAATTGTCAGATTTAATATTTTTTTATTTTTTATTGTTCTTTCATATGTTCTTAACTTTTGTATTTGCTTAAAAATTCATAATATTATGTATAGAACTTTTTCGGTCATATGTGTTAATATATCAATTATTTGTATATCTTAATATTATATTATATACAATTACAGCTTTCTCTTTGATATTATAATCAATTATTCATACTTTATAAATTCGTCAACACTATTGCCGAGTCAACTATACTACAACATAGATTTTTTGTTCATAAGATTTTTAAAGAATATATTATTTCGGTCATATGTGTTAATATATCATCTATTTGTATATCTTAATATTATATTATATACAATTTCAATTTTTCTCATTAATATTATAGTCAAGACATCTATACTACAACATCAATTTTTTGTTCATCAGATTTTAAAAGATATATTATTTTCAATGATTTGCTTATTTTTAGTTGAGAAAAAATATGTTGTTTTTATAAATACTTTTAACTTATTGTAACTGTATAGATTTGCTATAGATGTATTACAGATGAGAAAGATGACAAATTATGAAAACTATAATTTATATATTGTAATGACATTATGTTATTTTGATCGTATAATTTTTCTATTAGCTAAATAGTGTCCCTATATGAAATTGTCTATATCTACCACTGAAATTAGCTCTACAATGCAACTTTCATTGAATTTTTTACAACTCCAATGAAAGATTTTCCAACGGTAGAAATATGTTCAGAAAAGAAAATTAAATGAATTCACACAACAATAAATGATGGTAATTCGAATCATTAAATACACTAAAATTCCAATATAATTTAAGTTGATATATGTTGGAATAGTAAGTGATATTTTTCAATGAAAGCTATACAAATGAAATATCCTTTATTTTTAGTGGAACACCTTATCGTTGGATTTTTCATTGCAATATAGCATTTTATTTTTGCATTTCCTTTTAAACGTTAAAATTTTTATGTTGTAGTTTTTTTATTAAGTAATTGCGTTTACAAATTTTTTTTTGTTAAAAATATATTAAACACGTGAACTTTTTAGTCCATATAACTTTTTAGAAATCACTCGTTATTTTAACTCAAGATTACCTATCAATTTCTCAATTGAATTACAACCTTTTACGTATTAAATATTAAATAAAGAAAATAGTTATTATTTTATATTGTAATATGACATTTATATATTATATTAAAAAAACTAATAGCAAATAAAAAGATATTTTAAATTAAAATAATAATTTTTTTAAATATTAAAATTTTCAACCTACATGGATAAAAGTACATTAATCTATAAGCTACAAGTTACACATAGAACTAATAAGCACAAAAATATAAAAAGAAATAAACAATTCGATTCATTTAAATCGATAAGTATAAGTTTAAAAGTTTTATATTTAATTTTATTAATTATAAAATTTTTATTTATTATTTGTTTTCATATTTATTAGTAAGTCTTACAACTTAATTATATTTTTGAATTATTCATCATATTTAATATCTTTTTACTTTCATATTGTTCTTTCATTTAGCACACATCTTTAAAATCAGTGGCTCAAATAAAATAATAATAATTAAAATCTCATGATATATTTTACTTAATTATTGAATGTAAAATTTATATATTTTAGGTGTTAATAATTATAAATATTACTCACCTTGATATTAACTATCTAATAGTCAAGTGAAAATAATTATTATTTTATATTGTAATATGATATTTATATATTATATTAAAAAAACTAATAGCAAATAAAATGTTCAATTAAAATAATCATTTTTTTTAAATATTAAAATTTCCATCCTACATGGATAAAAGTACAAATAACTTTTATCTATCACCTAAAAGTTACACATAGAACTAATAAGCACAAAAAAATAAAAAGAAATAAACAATTCAATTCATTTACATCGATAAGTATAAGTTTTTAAACTTTTATATTTACTTTTGTTAATAATAAATTTTTATTTATTATTTTTTTCATATTTATTAGTAAGTCTTACAACTTAATTATATTTTTAATGTTATTCATCAGATTTAATATTTTTTTACTTTCATATTGTTCTTTTATTTAGCACACATCTGGAAAATCAGTGGTTCAATAAAATAATAATAATTAAAATCTCATGATATATTTTACTTAATTCTTGAATGTAAAATAATATATTTTAAGTGTTAATAATTAAAATATTACTCACCTTGATATTAACCATTTAATGGTCAAGTGAAAATTCGTTAATTATATTCACTTTGTGACTAAAATTGGAAAAAACAAACAAACAAACAAATGACGATTTTTGTGGGATCAAAATTCAATCTAGTAAGACTAAAGTGCAATTTCTATTCTAATTCTAAATATAAGATTATCCTTTTCTTAAATAATGAAGTAGTTAAATGAATTGTTCAACTTTTCTAGTTTGTCAGATAATGTATAAAATTATAAATATTGTGTTTGATTTTTAAGAGATGTGAAATGTATTGTTCATATATTTGTATTTAATTAATTAAGTATCAGTTATTAATTAAAAATATAAGATATGATGCGTATTAGTGTATTACTAATTTGCCATTAAAAACATGTTAAAGTAAGGATTTTTAGGTAATTTATTTTTTAATTAAAAATATAAAATAAACTATGTATTAATTTATTACTAACTTGCCATTAAAAATATGTCAAAATAAGGTTATTTTAGGTAGTTCATATTTTTACAAAAACACTCGTCCTTTTAGAAGAGTATAGATATAGATATAGATAGATATAGATAGATAGATATAGATATAGATAGATAGATAGATATAGATATAGATATAGATATAGATATAGATATAGATATAGATAGATAGATAGATAGATATAGATATAGATATAGATAGATAGATATAGATAGATAGATAGATATAGATATATATATGTCAGCAGGATAATTCACATATTCATTTAACTAAAACGAAGTCCAAATATATCACCGAGTATTCATCGTTTTGAAAACATTACAAACAAAGTTATACACTAAATTACCAAATTTCCTATCTCGAGACTAATTAGATAAAATACCATGGAAAAAAAAAAAAAATCGCAGAAGCATCACTTTCTTGTACTAATCCCGATATGTCCATACACACATACATAAAAAAATTTCAGTGTTTATGCGTTCCAACACACAACTAATATATAGATCCCGTGCGTAGCGCTCCATTTCTACCATCAAACACCCACCCACTCCACACCAATACAAGTCGTTGGTTGTAATTATATATGTGACCTAAAAAAATGAACGAATATAATAACGCGTCAGATCAAAACTTAACCTCTCCTCCCCCGTCACCTGGCTTCGCCCCCCCGGGAGGGCTGATGACGATCCACAACAAGGAGACTGTGATTGAGATGAGTCCTGACCAGACATATATAATAGTGGGCAGCTTCCCTTTTCTCCCCATCAGCCCCTTGGCAAAGGGGTACATATGCGCCAGCACCCAGAAACTGAAAAACGCCCCCCCGAGCAGCTTGCTCCACTCCGGGATCACGCTGTACACCGTCCTCGCAAACCCTATCACCAGCGCCACAAGATTAACAATAATAATAGTGAGCGGCACTACGAACAGCCCCGTCCACTTGACTATATAAAGATCCGCGTAAACATCGTCCACGTCCTCCCCAGCCGACTTTGAAGTCAAGGTGAACGAAATCTCGATCCCGGCCACCACTTTGAGAAGCCCTTGCAGAACTGCAACGAGATGTGCGCTAGTGCCGCCAATGACCCAGAACTGCTCGTTTCGCCACCACTCCTCGAGGCCGATGCCTGACCACTTGACCTCGAGGAGTGAGATGCAGACGAGGCAGAGGGTGATGATTAGGAGGTAGAGTAGGAAAGAGATGTCGAGGGACTGGACGATGAACTGTCCAGTGAAGAGGGAGAGTGCCGGGAGGAAGCAGTAGACGACGAGGAAGATGGAGGTGAAGGGGTAGATGCCGACGTTGAGGTAGGCGATGCGCTGGAGGAACTTGAGTCGGGGGGTGGCGAGGAGGGCGTTGTTGCGGGAGAAGAAGATCTCGACGGAGCCGGTGGCCCAGCGGAGGACCTGGTGGAGACGGTCGGTGAGGTTGATGGGAGCAGTGCCGCGGAAGGCGTCGCGGCGCGTGATGCAGTAGACGGAGCGCCAGCCGCGGTTGTGCATGCGGTAGCCCGTCACCACGTCCTCGGTGACAGAGCCGTAGATCCACCCGACGCGATCGCCCCACTCCGTGTTGTCTTCGTACCTGTGTGTGTGTGTAGATCTAGACAATGTTATGTATGTGGATTTGATGGAAAAAAGAAGAGTAAATTGTAATTTTAGTCAGTGTTGTATGTTTTTACTACCCTGACTTTTTCGTTCGTTTTGAATTGATTTTTGGTTTGAGTAAATTTCAGTTTTAGTTATATATGTTTCACTATCCAAACTTTTTCGTCCTCTTCGAATTGCTTTTTTTGGTTTTCATCTTGTATGTTTGCGAAAGGGTTACATTTAGAGTAAAATGTAATTTTAGTCCTGTAAGTTTCACTATCTTAATTTTTTCGTCCTCTTTCAATTGTGTTTTTTATTTTCGTCCCGTATATTTACAAAAAGGTTACAAAAATGTATTTTTCGCAACAAAAATGTCCTTTATGTTTTATAAAAAAAAGTTCAAATTTTGTCCCTTATGTATGCAAAAGACCTTTTTGTAACTTTTTTGCAAACATATGAGACGAAAATAAAAAACGCAATTCGAAAAGGACGAAAAAGTTAAATTAGTGAAACATACAGTACTAAAATTGTAATTTACACTTACATTTATACATAAGTGACGAAATTGGAACATTTTTTTTCAAAACATAAGGACCTTTTTGTAATCTTTTTGCAAACATACGGGACGAAAATAAAAACACAATTCGGAGAGGATGAAAAAGTGAGGGTAGTGAAATATACAAGACTAAAATTATAATTTACTCTATGTGGATTGAATGGAAAAGAAGAGTAAATTGCAATGTTAGTCGTGTATATTTTACTACCTTAACTTATCCGTCCGCTTCGAATTGATTTTTGTTTTCTGTGTCCCTAATATTTGCAAAAATGTTACGAAAAGGTACTCGAGCATACATAAAGAGACAAAATTGCAGCCTTCTTCCGCAAAACATGAATGACTTTTTTGTTGTGAAAAGAACATTTTTAAAACATTTATGCAAATATAAGGGACGAAAATGAAAAAGACAATTCGAAGAGGACCAAAAAACTAGGATAACGAAACATACATGACTAAAATTGCAATTTACTCAAAAAAAAAAAAAAATCTATGGAATGTAATTGATATTCTCATCAATTTTCCCAACAAGGTGTCTTAAAATATATGAGCTGGAGAATTTGAGTTCCACTGATATGATAAGACAGTTGTCACAAATTCCCCTTATTCTCAAATAACTTGGTCGGTCTGCAAAATGCAGTATCAACAAGTATCAAGAGGTATAAAAAAACAAAAACTCTCAAAACTGCGTACCAGCAAGAAATGACGGCAATAGCCTCGGCTGCAGTAGGGGCATCGAGCGGAGGACGCGGGACGAGCAGCGCACCAGGTGGCCTCCCGTTCTTGACTGAGAAATGATCAGCTAGTGGTCGTCCTTGAAACTCAGCAACAGTAATAGAGTCGGTGAACATGGTCGAATTTCCGAATTTCTTGGGCAGGTCCAAGTCCGGATGACTGGCTGTCAGGGGCTCCTCGTCCTCTTGCTGACTGGGCTTTATGGTCTTGGCCGGGGTCTTATTTTGCCCGATCCAGCCCGAGTACTCATTTGCTCTCGGAGGTGGGAAGCCGTAGAGTGCATAACGTCTGAACATGCACCCCGTCCCCACGTACACAGGTCCTTGAAGACCATCCAAGGCTCTCATGTTCCCTGAATCACAACTCCAACTGATTTTTTGTAAAGCAAAGTTGGAAATCACTCTGTTTCAAATTCAAAACTCTGTGTTTCCACATGTTATATATGAGATCCACATGCTAAAACTAGAACAAGAAATTTTCTAGAAAAAACTCTTGTGTTTGTTTTTGGGTGAGAACACTACACAACACAAAATACGCTGATATTGTACAAACAGAACATAACATATAANAAATTAATCTTAACAAGAGTTTTGTAATTTTAAAAGTACCACTTGCGTTCTAATTAATAGTCGTTTAGTCAACTGTCAACCAGAAAGCACAACTCATTTGCCAAAAGATAATTGGACTGTCACATTAATATTCGATCATGTGCATATATACACATACAAATAAAATATTATAAGTTATATGTATATAAATTATATTTAAGAATAATTTAGATAATAATCATATCATACTTAAAAAAAAAAAAAAAATTATAATTATAATTCAAAACAGGAAACAGATTGCTAAAACAAAAAAAGGATACGTGTTTGCTTAAAAAAACCTGCAAAATTCCGGCATGGTCTCCCTTGTAGTGGTCTGGCGAAGGTTCAAACCACGTCCCTGGCCAGTTGGTCCCGTCAGCCATCCACGTGGCTTTGGTGACTTGGGACTTGTGATCAGTGGGAAGCACGCCGTTGTTCTTTTCCCTCACGAGCTTCTGTTCCTGCAACTCCTCGTTTTTGTTGTACATCTTGCACCGTTTTCTTATGACGTCCGGGAGGCCATTGATCCTCACTTTGAACTCGTCATACTCCCGCTTGATCCACCTTCTGTCCTTGACAAAATCAGGCCGCTTCTTGTTTTTAGTGGGGTCTGTCTTCTGGCTGAAGTACGAGTCGGGGTTTCTTGGCTCGATGTCATGCTTTCGGCAGAACGGCACCCATATCTGTTTCATATCAACCGGTTTTGAGCTTGTCAGGTATCGAATGAGCTTAGAGAACTATTTTTTTTTTTTTTTTTCTTGTGTTCATTTAATTATTTATTTTATTTTTCGGGCAGAGGCTTCCTAAGATCGATAAGACCTTAAGTATGAAGCTTCATTAATTAGAAAAAAGACTAAATAATGAAGTCTTTAAAAGGAATTAGAGTGACAAATCTGGAAAAAGTGTAGAATAGGTAAAATTAAAGTGATTTATGTGTCCTGTATCTCAGTTAGTATAGCAAAATGTAATTACCTCTGCAAATTTGACAGCCTCGGCCATGGCCTCGAAGGTGAGAATGGCACCACCATCGTCCGATATGTAGACCGACAACTTCTCGATCGGGTAATCAACGGCCAAGATGGAGAGGATCGTATTTGCTGTGACCAAAGGAGGTTCCTTTTCAGGGTCAGCTGTGGAAATGAACACATCCATTCCCGGAAGGTCTGACCGGCCTGTGGGGTTTGACGAGCTGGGAGTCTCGAACTTGTCCTTGAGAGCCGACAAGTCGGCCGCTCGGTTTATGGGGTTGAACTTTGGCAAGATGTCGAGCAGCCAAGAGAAGGCGAACCATATCTCGCACACAATGGATATTCCCCAAAGCCACATGGCATCCCGATTTGGGTTCTGCACCCTCCATGCCAGGAAAAGAGCCAATGCTATCATTCGGAACACAATGAGGACCCTAAAGTCAAGGAACGGGAAAATATTAATCTGGGTAAATAATTTTTTCCAATCTGTATTATACGCGTTTTTGGATTTCGCAAACTAGAGTATTTTTTTGTATAGTAAAATGCAACTTGAACTTCATGAATTTTCATAATTTTTTCATACTCACTCTTCATCATACACGTGTCCATTTATGCGCATGGTCAAGAAGTAGTAGGAGAGCGTGAAAATTATGAATGTTCATGAATTCAGGTTGCAGTTTACAACGAAAAATACTGTAGGCTGCAAAAATCTCAAAATCACGTAAAGTACAGGTTTGAAACAAATATTTTGCCCTATTAATCTAGATTCTTAGTCTACTTGGTTTTTTTTCATTTCATAAAGAAAAAAAAAAAAGAAAGAGAAATTAATTATCCCAGCTACCTGTAAGGACTAATAACTCCTCCCGGAACACGAACTTTTCGAGTGAGAGGCTTCCAGGGCTTGTCCATAAAATCCTGCATGCTCATCCCCGTGTCGTGGTCGAACGAGTCGTCATCCTGCCAGAACGCGTTCCCGATCCCGTATTTGCCTTTCGTCTCGAAAAGCCAACGGTTGTGGTCGAAATCCTGCGTCTGGCTTCTCAACAGCATCGACTTATTGTTATTATTATTGTTGTTGAGTATGGACATTCTTCGGTCGAGCTTCCCCGGAGGCTGGGACTCAGAACGAAACCTAGAGGACGGAGCACGGAATACGGTGGGCCCATCGGGCTTATCCCCTGCGCCTGCGGGCTGGTTATCGGGTGTTGGTGGCATCACCACAGTGTAGTTGTTGGCATAGTCGTCAAACTCGTCAGACGCACGACTCCTCGACGTTGCCATTTGATTTTATTTATTTTATTTTGTGGCCTGAAGAGTGAAGATGACGGATGAAATCAATATTGTTGTTGTTGAAACTTGAGAGACGGTGAGATGAGAGTGGTTGAAAATGGATCATTGACATGGGAACAAAACAATTGCCAAAAATAGGGTCGTGATTAATGTCTACTTGTTGTATATCATGGGTTGTGGCCTTATTTCACGCCAAGCCACTCATGTCTCTGTTTCATCACACATAATGTATATGAATGTGTATACCTTTATATAAGGGCAGGCTTTCTGATTGTCTTCTCAATACAAATTTGCTTCTATTTTGTCGTCTCTGTAATGTCCAAGTTTGGCTAGTGCAATTTAAGGGGGTGTATTTAATTAGGATTTTTAAGGACTTTTTAAGACTTTAGAAATCCTGGTGTATTCAATTTAGATTTGTTAAGACTTTTTAAAACTTTTAAAAATCCTGGGGTATTCAATTGGGATTTTCAAAAGTCTTACAAAATCCTGAGGTATTTAATTTTTTTGACACTAGGATTTATTAAGACTTTTTAAGATTTTGTGGGATTTCTAAACAAAAAACCTTATATGAAATCCCACTTCAAATCCTACCTCCGGACTTGAGATTTCATAAAATTCTTCAAAAATCTGAAAATCCTAGAAAGTCTCAAATCTCAAAAAGTCTTAAAATGTCACTTAAATTCCGAATTGAATACACACCCCTAAGTTTTGTAATAAAATTAGTACGTAACCCGCGCGATGCACGGACTGTATTTATTTTAGAAATATTATAAATTGAAGTGTATTAACAAATAAAAGAGTTATAATAAATAAGAAAATTATCAAATCATAAACTCTTTGTCATGAAAAAATCATATACTATTAAAAATTTATTTGTACATAACAATATTAGTATGATATTAGTATGATTATTGAGCAACTCGTCCTCACAAACTAATATTTTCTACCCATTCCTATTACTTACACTTGAAGCAACAATATATAATTGACCGTGACTAAAAATTGGTTTCCTTAATAATAGGCTAATGTGCAATAAAGATTGACTCAAAACTCTTGTTTATGGTCATAGCATATGAAATCATAAGTGGGAACTGCCCCTGCTGGAACTTAAATGGATCGATTGTTATATTTATATATAATTTGATAATTTACTTGGTAGTTCGACAAATGAACCGTTAATTTATCATTTAATATCAATTGTACTTGATTAATGAAATAATATTTACTAATACTTTATACTTTTATCATTAATTTCTTAAACACATAAGGTATAATTACTGTTTTATATGATATTGTACTAAATATCATTTATTATATATACATTTTTTTTTATTGTATGAAAAAACTTGAGAATAATTCTTTATTCATATTACTATTAAATAATAAATTTTAGTCCATTTTATATTGTGCAACTAAATAATAAACTTACTAATACTTTAAAAAAATATTTTTTATTTATGCATACAATATGAGTGTCAAAGCAAAGTTTGTAAAACAAAGGTTAATTTAATATTGTAAATGAAAAAAGAGTAATATACAAAAAAAATTTTAAGTTTTTAAAAAGGCTATGGAATTAATAGTTAATAAGAAAAAAAAAATACCATGATATAAAAAACTAAACATATATAAATCATAATTTGAAAATTTCTTAATCTAGGTGTAACAGAAATATTAATTTACTTCTACTACCATTTTATTTATTAACCTATAACCATATTCGTTAATTTATACTTTACCAATCAAATGAAATGAAATAATTTATTGTAATTTTTTGATAAGTTTAATTTCAATTTATCGGGCTAAACGGTCTGGGCCTAAAAAGCCCTGATTTAAACGGGCTAATAATAAAAGGACCTAACCCTCTTTTTTTTCGGGCTAAACGGGCAAGCCCGTCGGGCTAAAGACCATTTAACATCTCTAGTGCACTCGAAGTGCAACTATTTTTTATAAAAATATATTGAGTATTTTAACTTTTTATGTAATATTTTATATAGATTTTTTTGAAACAATAAAATATATATGTAATTTTCAAAATATATCAAGAACAATATATATATATATATATATATATATATTATATAATTTTTTATTTTTTATTTTTGGAAAATCATTACTATTTCAAGTAAAACAAACTTTTATATATATAAAGACTTAATGTGATGCAACATGGACATAGTTCATAGATAATATTATATTATTATTTTGTTCCTATACAAACCAAACCCATGATTAATATTCAAAAGAACTTAGACCAGTGTATACCGTCTTGAAGTGCTTAAAATGACATGAAAATTAAATTGTGTAAAAGCGCTACACCTATAATGTGTTAATACAACTCAATAAAATATTTAAATAATCTAAAATATTATATAACATTCTCGAAAAATATATCTTAAATTTTGTTGAATTTTCTTATGTTATCCCCAATTACATCTATCGAAAATATTTAATAATAATGGTTATATATCAATATACTAATAACAGCACATGAAAATTATTTCACTTTATATAATGGATAAATTAATATCGTGGTTAAAAAATGGTAGTATCGTGATTTTGTTTATTAAATTTGTGAAAGCAGTATTTTTTAAATATTTCATTGGATTGAAATAAAAGAGGTTTCCAAATATATAAGAGACCTCGGATCAAATCGGTGTTGATTATCGTATTTTATACAACAATTTCTTTATCATAATTTTTTAGACTAAATCTGTAAAGTTTTCCAATAAAATCCTAAATTTTTACAACTATTTTTTCCTCATCAATCAAATTGTAATTTATAGTGACTTAATAATTAGTACTAAAGTTTTATGAGTTGGTACTTTAATATAAATAGAAATTATATTAATTTAATTAAATAAATCAAACCATGAACAATTGCAAATTATTTAAAAGTGATATAAAAAATTAGTAAATTCATTTTAATAATATATGGGTTTTGATATTACAAAAACTAATTTAGTATAGTAATTTTAAAAATATTTGGGGTTGGATTATTTAATAATTTCTTTTATCTATTGATTTGATTTCTCACAGTTCAAAAACTCAAAAATGTTTCTAAGTATAGAAATAACATTTTCATAAAATATTGATTGATTTTAAGAAGTGTAAAAAGAAATTTTTGCACTAAATTAAATGAACTATAACATTTGCACCGACTTATATCCTATTTATCAATGCTTTAAAATATAGTCCTAACTTATATAGTAAATTGTTTTCGACATGATTTGTCATCATGATTTAGTTACTAAACATTTCAATGATTAAAATTTTTATGTAAACGAAATTGAAAAATGTGGACTGATTTATGTTTATTTTGCCTAAATAGTTCTCCCACTATTTCTATAGAGACTGAGATGTTATATTATATTACATTTAAGAATTATTATTCACTATATATAATTAAATAATGATTTATAAAAAAATGTTAAATAGATTGCACAATTACTGAGTAAACATTTTATCCTACTTTACGACCACCAATGCAGGGAAAATATTTCATAATACAATCAAATTATTAAATCAATTTTTATTATTAAATCATCTTGGGGGTTTCGTTTTGAATGTTAGTGTAAAATTGAAAAAGAAAAGGTAAGTAGATAACAAATGGTAATACAGATTACATTCTTCTGAGATTTGAATACCAAAATTAACTTAACCCCGCAATATATGGTAACATTTAATGTGATTTAAATTTTTTTTAAAAAGTTACTATTTTTGGGTTGCATTAAATTTTGGCGGGTTCTTTTTCTACTATTTTTTGTAAAAGTTAATTCTTATTATATATACTAGTACAGAGCCCGTGCGATGCACGGGGTGCACAATTTTAAGGCTATTTATCCAGGCTTATAATTATATACATGAATAAAGAAAAATGTACGGGATATATATAGTACGTGACCCGTGCGAAGCACGAGATATATTTATTTGAAGAATATTATATTTTAAGATGCAATATTCAATAAAAGTTTATAATACGCAAGAAATTGTACAATGTTCAATAAAAGTTCTATAATATTCAAGTGGAGTCTTAAAGTCTCTTGTAGATTAAGACTACCGACAAAATAATATTTTAATTAATGAGTTTCCTTTTCTTGTAGCCAAATTGTGAATGTGATTTGAGGAGTACAACAAATCGATATATAGCTGACTTGCTTTTTTCATTGTAGTTTTTTTTTTTATAATGAATTTAAAGATATTCTAAAATATAGCAAAAATTAATTTTTTATTACAATTAGGAATTTTACTAAATATAAACTCTCAATCTATGGTGTTAATCAACGTTTAAGTCTAAAAAATTAGGAATTTTTACCTCTTTTAATCAACGTTTAAGTCTAAAAAACAATAGAGTTATTATAAGTTTTTTTTCTACATCTTTTAAAACATTAAATATGAGCATGTTAGGGCTAGCTTGTAAAATAATTAATATATTATCTCACTAAAATATTTATACTAATAAAAATTTAATTTTAGCATATAAATTTATCCCTTGATATAAGAGAAAGTAACAGTTTTACTTATTGTTGTTCACCATATAATATTTAATTATTATTTTATTATATAATAAAAAGGAAATATTGTTAAATAGTGTAGTAGAATTGTTATAAAATTATATGATTTTTTTTTTTACAATATGGATTTAATATTTTTTTTATGATTTGATAATATATATAAACAAATCTATACTTAACTTTGACAAATAAAACAAATAAATACTTTAGTAAGTATTTAATGTATATACTAAATAGGAATATATTTGGTATAATCAAGTACCAAATATAATCAAATAAGTCAAAGTGTACATTTTTATTTGATATTTGATTTTTTATTATTAAAATCTTTTTATTATACTTACTTTTTTAAAATAAAACAAATAAATAAATCAATTAAATAAATAAAATATTATAATACCAAAATAGTAATGACATTTAATGCAGTTGACTTTCTGGATAGTAAATGTAGTAAATAGAATATCCTTTTATATAATATAATACGGAAGTAATGCAATAAATGCTGTTGACTTTTCTAGCTACTTAATTTGGTAAATAGTACCCCCTTTAATATAAGTATAGATATAGATATAGATATTAGTTTTTTCTACT